ACATATGGATCATAGTCTTTCTATATATAAATACAATTTTAAATAGTTTTAATCATGATATTTGGTAAACCATTTCTTCGTTTCTTCCAAGCCCCCAGGTCCTTAGCTTGTAGCCTTAGGTGCTTCAGCCATTTTTTACTTTCCTTGATACTCCCTGCTTTAAAAACRTACGTCTCACGGGCCATGTTGATGATCTCAAAACAATCTTTATGATCTACACAATAACAAAAATATAAAAAGAAACAGTTAAGTAACTTTACTACCCCATCCCCTCCAGGGCTGAGAACCACTTCCCCCTTCCCATCCCCCCTTCACGCAAGGATAAAAACATTCAATTTTAAACATTTGAGACAAAAGTGTGCCTTTCACTGACCTGAATCTTTACATACAATGCACGAGTTTAGAGAAAGAGGTTCCTGTGAATATAATATCGTCATTAGTATTCATCGTCATCATCATCCTTTACAATATTATCATACACCTAATTGAAAAAACGTAGTCGTGTTCGAAAAGGTATTTTGAGTACCATTAAATTGGGATTACATTAGCATATACGGTGTACACTAAGCAATTAGAGCTAGCAAGATCAACAGCATGATAGTCTTTTATGCTGGAGAGCTGTTTGTTATGAAATTAGCCAAATTGTTTGTCTTCCCAAGTACCCTTTCGGTCTTAGCATCTATGATTTGACATTTTTGGACCCGGCAACGTTTCTTCAATTAGGTGTATACTCGTTCATCAATAAACATGCATTGATGTTATCATCACCATACTCATCAACTGAGCACGTTATTTGAAAACATAGACATGGCAACAGATTACCGGTTGTTCTTAGCTGACACGTCGAAACGTCTGCATATATGCTAGATTACTTTACTAAGATCAAATRAAACGAACCTTAAACAACGTATATTTTCCATTCATTTTTTTCTTCAGCATAACAAGTGCAGCATCTGTCGCTTCGGCATCGGATGGAAATAGCGGGTATTCTTCAAAATTGGTGTCTTCGTCTGAGTCAACTGTTTTAGGCTAAAACAAAACAATACAACTATCATATGAAATCTCAAGGCATGCGTTTCAGTTTTGAACGAGAATTTCAGTTACCTCGGATAGTCCTAGGACACAGAAAAGCATAAACACATCGACTGTACGTTTGCTTCCTCGTCGGCTCCAACCACTGGCAGA